ATTACTACTGATAAAATAAATTACTATAATAGCAATAAAAATAAATATATCACAAAATATACTTGGTAATATTATAGACTGACAGATCGTCTTCGCTTAGAAACATTTGTAAATACAAAAGTTTATTATTGAATTTAAATTCAATAAATTTAATAGGTACAATGATTTATTCAGTTTGAATTTCGGATTATTATCGAAACCTATTTTACAATAGAGCGGTTACTTTGTCACATACTTGTCTGCTTTTTTTCATATATATTAATAATAAAATATCAACCACTGATTAACCTCGTTTTTAAAATTATCCAAAAAGAAATAAAATTATTCAATTTTCTGACAATTAAATAATAAAATACTTAAAATATACAATAGCTCCTTCTTTAATCACTATAGACCTACGCAATAAGATTCGGTGAATCCAATAAAACGAATTAAAAAAACTCAAAAAAATCCTATCTAAAATCCTCAGACAAATCAGCCTAATTTATATCATATTATACTCTATAAAAAGACCTCAATATCTTTATTGTCACTGGTATAACAATTATAATGCATTATAATACAGACGCTTACACTCAAAACTTGCTATACCGCTTACATCTACTCAAATCCACTAGTTAAAGGACTAGTAGCTGATACTCTGTCAGTAACTAGGTGAACCCCGAATATAACTAAGACGATTTTGTAGTTTCAAAAATACCACATAAATAAAATCTAAATCGCTATAAATCCGTGTCATATAAAATTATCAATGAATAATTCCTATACCCACGCGTTTTCAAGTCATACATTAATAATGACTAATATTCTGTTTATTGTAAACGAATTACGAATGGTAACAATTATAAATAAAGAAAAATAATTGTCTGCCAAATTTTCCAATTGAAAATAAATTTAAATATTCCATACTGGAATAGAATGTAAGTCTTTATTTTTTTTCTCCCGCAGTTCAAGTCATAAGCATATAGTGGGTTACTCGAACATATTACGTTGTACATCACCGAGTAATAATAATAAGAAATCTTTGTCCCGTGTTATTGACCTTCAGCAACCCCGTTCTGCGTACATAAACGGCAGTCACGTACGTGAGATGTACCAAGAATAAAAGACTGGTATGGAAGAGAGGAAAAGAACACTTGGTAATCAGTAATCACGTGTACAGTACGGCATTCCGGTCGGTCATTTCGTAATCCTAAATCGAAAAACAACCACGCGTGGTTTCATCAAAATCAATGTCTTTGTCTCAGATACTTGTACATTATTCATGCTATATAGTGTAGTTCAACGTCCCGGACGATTTTTTTCCCCTTCGAGTTCAATATACATACACAAACTTGATTCGCATCGGTACTTTTCGATTCAGCATCTTTATGCTCATGCTACGGTTTATTGCCGATTTTTTCCAAACGTAGAAAGAGGAAAAAAACGGAAGTCACACATGTCTGAAAGTAGTGCGTAAAAAAGGGGTAATGTTTGTGGTTGAAAATAGATGATACGTAATAGGGTTGAGTCATTACTGTAGTCTACTATTATAAAGTAATATTATACGAGTATTAAAAGAAGGTCAATCACTTATTTGATCAAAAAAATCAATTTTCATTTATGACTCAATTGATCGATATAATTGATTCCGATTATATTTTCCTCGCTTATTTAAAGCGAGTTATGGCCAAATGCATTCTGGTAAGAGACACGATTTTAATAGTAGTTATAACAATAACAATATACATGTAAAAAAATTAAAAGCAAAAGAATGTTGCGATATCTGTGCATTTCGTTTTACTATATTTGACATTTGTTTGATAATTAATTTATAATTATATAATGAAATTTTTATTATTTTTTTTTATTTAAAATTTTTTTTCAAACCATGTTTTATTAAGTGAAACATTAAAATCAGATAATAACATTTTTTTAGGGATGACTTTACATTATAACTTACGACTGTATACAATATCGTTATAATTTACAATAATCCAATTAAAGTAAATTTTAGCGTTCAATGGAAATGAAACGTAATATGATTGAGCAGCACACCGAAACCTCACTAACACGGTTTAGAAATGTGATATAGGCATTTGTATGGGGCATTTTTCATCATACCAATGTAATAATAATAGTAAAAAACATAATGACACGCCTTTAATGCAAGTGTACTAATACTTATAAATAATAAAAATGAGACTACGCGCACTCATTTACATCTAAGTGACATCATCGATTGAATGAATCATATATAATTATAATAGGTACCTGAGTGGATTTTCGAAATTTACGACATAAATAATAATGATATTAAAAGTTGATAAACGAATAATGTATACACGATTTACCTTGAAAACAAAACCAGTTACTCAGATAACTGACCAATTTATTTATTTTTCTATAACTCCCGTTCTTTGCAATAATATTATATTTTAAAAAATATTTTAGATCTCACGTTTTGCGATTAAAAGCGCGCTATTCAACGTACTTTCTCTCGTCACTCTTCGTAGCTATATAAGTTATTTCCATCCACTCCATATTTTGTGACTCCTTTGGCGGCGTTTCATGAATGGTGAAAATTTTCACTCGGAAAAATCCGTATCTAATTGTAGAAAAATACTTTGTTTGATTTTAGTTTTTTTATCATCTTATTTTTATTAGAATCTTTCATTTCGACCACATCTAATTGACTCGTTCCAATTTCCTTACAGAATAATGGCAAAAGATATTTATCAAACATATAACATAGTTGATTTTTTTTAATTTTTTGCTTTTATAGACAAATTTTCTAATTCGTTTATTTAAGACAAAAAAAAAAAAAAACTTCTTAAGTATTTATGAAATTTTTCAAAAAAACTCTATAAACATTAATTCAGTATACATACAATATCTATAATTTTTAAATCAAACAGTTAAATTATAAGAAAATATCATTTTTATAAATAATACTAGATTATATTATTAATTAAAATAATTAAAATATTTTATCCAATTTATAAGTATAATATGATTATCAAGAAAATTATTTTGTATGCCTACAGATGCTCAAGACAAGTTAAAACTAAAGCAACGCGTATATAATATAATATAATAAAGTTTTTGATATAAGTAACTTTAAGTTAATTTTATTTCTACCAAAGAAAACTTAAATCTTAAATTGTTCTTTTTGTAATTTAAATCAGTTAAAGCGTTATTTTCGAATTGTTTTAGCTTTAATTTAAATCCAATGCCTTTTAAGTATAAATATCGTCACATTTTAATAACAAATTATTTTTTGGAATTTATAACTTCTCGTTACCCAAGTACCTACTTACTAATTATTTTTCGAAAGTTATCACAAATATAAGATTTCAAACAATTTTCTTAAAAGTATAATAATTTTAATTTTTTTAATTTATATTTTACTTAAATAATTGGTAAAATTCTATGGCTTAGCTTTATTTACTTTTAACTGAGTTATAAATTGATGATGAAGTGCTATTAACTCAGTGTTAATGGCTTTTTAATTAATACGTCCAAGTTTCCATTTATCGTGTAAAATATTTCCAAGTGTCGTGTTGTTTAAGACTTTTCTTTAAATTATTTTTGTAATATGATAACAGTTTTGGTTTCTAACCAGTAACCATGTTATTAAACATATATTATGTAATATAAAATATAAATAATAATATTTATTAAATGTATATTTGAAAAAAGAAAGATTTTAATGAAATAAAAATTTTTAATATTCATTTTATACAAAATTAAAATGTGGGTAATATTATAAACGTACACGTTTTTTCATTACATGTAATAAATACATATTGAAATACTGGTTTTTTCAAATCAATTGCATAATTTTATAATCGAGTAAATGAGTAATTCTATGGAAATAATATTTTTACATAAAATCAATTTTTAATTCGAATATTTAGGTATACCTTGATATTTATGTTAACATCAAACACATTTTTTTAAGTCAAATACTTCTCATTATTCTAAACTGGGAAAGTTAATTAGGTATGTGTAAAATATTTTATTGAGTCACTCGTTCCTTTCCAAACGTATCGTGTTAATGATGCAATTTAAATACGTACATGTCTTGTTTGAATGTTTCATTAATTGAAGGGTTTCAATTAGTCAAGAACAGATAAATTTATATATTAAGTTATACACAAGTCTCACAAAATATTACATTAAAAATATTAAATAACTGTGTGAATATTTAGAAATTTAGATTCTTTAAATTTTCAATTAATAATATTAACAAGTAGACAGTATATATGATTAAAAACAAATCTAAAATTATTTAAAATTATTATCATAAAGATGATATTCATATTGTTAAACTATTGAAGTATTAAATCAAATTAAAGACTTTGTGATCTAATAAGACGCATGTTGTAATTATTTTAATATAACAGATCCGGTAAAAAAATTGGTCACAATACCTACCAACATAATAATATGATGTACTATACAGGTGTTCAGTGCCTAAACCCGCTCCAAAACCTTAACATTATAATCTTTGTTCTTTAAGAGAACGCTTCTCGACTGTATTACACACACACTAACGTATAAAACATACGTAGGTACTTCTTTATACCTACAATAGGTAAATTTTGGTTACAGATTGTGTTTAAGTACATTTACGTTAAATTAATACATGAACGAGATTGTTAACTATAACTGGCCGAACTATTTTCGTCCAAAATCTATTAAAAGTACCTATATACATTTTTCTTTTCGACGAATTATTTAAAATGATATTATGAGAAATACGGAAGAACGGTGGCGACGATCATGTATTCCACCTTTTATTACGTCTATAACTAGCTAATTAAACAATTGCAGTATAAATACACGTCAGGTGGTCAATATTAAAAAGACCCAATAGCACGTTATTACTATACATAATATTATACTACATATAATCAGCTAGATTCATCAGTTCAAGTTTTGTTGTTTTGCTATGCAAAATAATTGAGGTACCGATGGAATAACAAAATAAAATTTATAAAAAATCGTCGTCTTACCTTGGCATGGAATGTAATACCGTGCTCGAACGCCTCTTCCGGATGCATAGGTATTCTAGTGTCGTAATCATCGTTGGGCACGAGGTTGTACTGCTTTTTGGACGGCATGTTTCTGGTTAACGTATCCATGCATCAGATTCGCTGAATTTCGATTCAAACGACTGTTATAAGCAGTGTTGTAGTGTTAGTAGTAGCAATAATTGCACTCGCGTTACAATTTAAAGACAGCTCCAATAACCGAACACACGATTTCGTTTTTAATATATTATTATTAAACTTTTATCAGAAAATAAAATTATATTCAACGTCCGGGTAGCTTGTCGGCGATTCGGATGTATATATAATATAATGATAGATATATGCGAATAAACTTATATTATATTTATATATATATATACCGTAGTTGTAGGTGTATCGGGTACAATATACCGCAGTCTACGTATATATACGTAATTCGTATATTTTATTTTTATTTATTTATTTTAAACGAAAATCTAGATATTGTGTTATGATAAATACGAAAACAACGGTGGCGGCTTCACGTTGGAGCTGTGCCCAAGGGACATTCTCGGCCTATTATTAATACGAAACACTGGGACCAGACGACCATGTCGTTTAACCGTATTTTCTTCAATTTTTTTTTTTGTCTTTTATTATTATTTTCTTTTTTTCTTTTGTTTTTGATCTATAGCACGAAACACGAAAACAAAACGTGAAAAAAATATATATATACCTTTAAGATAAACAATTTCGATTTGAAAATATTAATGCGACGGCGTGTAACGTGTTCGAGTGGATGGTAAACGGAACAGTAGGGAACCGGCGAAACGATTCGAGCGCTGGTCTGCACTGACTGACGATTTCTCGTCGCCCATGGACTAACCACATGACTAATGCACTGCAATCGCCATCTGTACGACGAGACGCGTATTTTATTCGTTCGATTGTCTTGTATATTATTATTATTATTATTGTTTTATTTTTTCCCACCGGTATTTTACGTATGAAACTGTAAACAATAATAATTGTATGTATTAAACCTTGATGACTAACGTTGAAGCTTTTGACCTTAGCTCACCAACGATAATTTTATTTTATTATTTATAAAAGCATGCAGTTTAATGAAAAATAATAAATATCCATAGGATCCAATTGATTATTTATAATAATAATAATAATAATAATAATCGTAAATATATATTACACAAAATATCATAGGTATAGTATTTTTATTTTTAGTTGATCATGGTTTAATTTACAAAATAATTTCGACTATCGTAATTTTTCATAGTTCAAGTGTAATATACAATATTGTTTTGGTTATAATCGAATAGTTTATGCCATAAAGTATTTATTTACCAAAAGTGTACCCAGGTAACTGTACTAAAGACTTAAAATAATTGAATATTAATTTAAAAAAACGACAAATTTTTATTTATCATCTATAGGAATTGAGTTCAGGCAACTAATGTTAAATATATTAAAATTAACTTATACATTTCGATGATATTATAAATAATTATTAATTTATAAAAAATTGACATTTTTCAAACAAAATAAACTACTCCAGTTGAAAAGTAAGTGTATCAACGGATATAGTATAAAACCAGAAAAAATATTTATACGTATTTTAAACTGACTTTTCAAGGTTCAGTTGTCATAAAACGTTTCAACTTTTAAAATCTGGTTCTAAATACCAATTAATAATTATTACTGAACAACAAAAATATTATTTCATCAATATTTTGAAAAAAAAAAATGTAATTGTGTTTAATATATCTTTAACTATTGTTAAATTATCATGCATGCTTCAAATACAATTATTACAAATAAAATAAATAAATAAAGAAGAAGAAGAATTTATAAAAATATCAACAAAAACCAAATTAGTATATTCAATTTATTGAGGGAAAATATGTTTTTATTTAGATTTATTTGCATAATATCTATTCGTTTGAAAATTTATCAAGTTAATAATATAAACCATGGAACCTTAAACGACCGAAGGCTATTTAATTTTAAAGGATATGCTATATTAATATGCTGCTTAAAATTCAACAAGTAGAAAACAAATTACATTCGATAAACAGTTAAGGAGTATAATAATATCATCATTGATGATATTTCCAATATCCTCACTAAATTGAGAAATCAAATGCATTTACATTATTTTAATTTTTTTTTTTTTACAACTAAATAATTACAACATAAGAATAAACAAACACTGAGCATATCAAATATAAATTTGTTCTCAATTTTTTTTTTTTTTTTTTTTACAAAAAAAATAATAATAATTTATATAATTGCAATACAATTATTTTATTTTTAATCAATGTCACATTTTACTATAGATAGTAGATCAATAATATTTATTTTATACAGCATTATTAAACATATTATTAAAACGTTAATATTTAATATTCCATGATATTGAATTTAAACGAGATTAATTAATACTGCACAATTATGACTTTAGAAAAAAATCCAAAATGTTAAATAGGTACTATTTTTTAATTTGCCTTAATTTAAATAGCATAATCAACACAATTTTAAACCGTTGTATTTTTATACATTTTATACATTTATCTAATCTAACTATATTTAAATATTTTGTTTACTCCCATATTTCACACAAAATGTTTGTGCAATGATGTATCAGAAAGTTCAATGATTATATAGTAAACATTAACGCATATGGTCCATCAACAAATTCCAGAAGTTTTAAAATCTGAATGGTGTTTTTTATTCATAGTTAATTTTCTTTGGATAGAGTTCATCACTGATCGCTAATTATATAATAGATGAAACGTTTTGCAAATTATTTTGGCCTTGATGTAGCTAACGTTATTTAACATACCTAAATAACTAATAATATTAATCTTTTATACTTTGCAATTTTATTTATTTTTTTATTTTTTTGTTGATAAAGTTGGAAATACCTCTAGACACTGAGGTTATTATTAAAAAAATCATACAATGTACAAATTTGAAATTAACAATTATAAATTTATAAATTTAAATGACATATTCTTTGATGGTATACATAAACATGTCTAAGGTCCCGTCATTGGATGTTATCTACCATTTTAAATTAAATCATAATAGATATGTGCATTTTAAATTTGGTATAAAATATAAATATCTAGAATGATATTAAATATTATTTTTAAAATCAAAACAATATTTTTCCTCATAATAATTCTCATCTGCGGTAATGTGCAATAAAAGTTAAATAAACGTATAAAATTTCTTCAAATTAGATTTCAAATATACTGTTTAGTAAATACAGAAATTTATATTTAACATTTATCTAATAATAAACATCATAACTTCAAAAGAACGATTTTACAATTAATATCTAAACTTATGTTTTTCCTCGTGGGAATACCTTGGGAAGTATACCTGGTTTCATTTATAAAGAATATTGGGGATAATGGGATCAGAATAAACTCTCTATATATAGTTTTCACAGAAACCTATGTATGTATAAATGTGTTTATCATATAGTAATGTTTGTCTCTGTCAAGAGAGTTTCGAGTAATAAAGTACGAATACCGGATTGCTGCGAAAATTCGGGAAATATGATTAATAATTGTAGAACAATATTTAAAAAATACTTTAAACATAGACTACATTGTTAATAAAATAATGTAAATAAATGTCAGAGAATAACAATTTGTATAAAAACATACTGTACTACATTTTGTTAATTTATATAAAAAAATATAATACTGATTAAAATTAAAAATCTATAAGATCGTTTACATTTACTTTACATTATATGTTTAGTCAACATTAAGTTTGACTAAGAATGTAATTTAGTATTTTTTATTACTTTTTTTTTTCAAAAGTACACTCATTAAAATTATTATAAAATGAAGAGGGTAAATACAGGTAGTCCTATTCGGTGATATTAAATTGAGTCCATGTTACTTTTATGTGTTTGAATTGAGTCCATCTTATTATCGACTTATGTATAATATCTTTAAATTAAGTCCATTTAGATAAGATGTCATAACTACCTATATAGCCGGTGACACACAATTAGTTAGTACTTACTTAATTATCAAATTATTATGAGTGAAAAATGGAGTGTATGTATAATGTATATATTATGTTCAGATGGGCAAATGTAAACTCCCCTAAAAGATGAAAAAGTAAATTCCTTAAAAATATTTTGCTACCATGTATTACACTTCCATAAATGTTTGCATTTTTATTTCGATTTTTTCATTATTTATTTAAATTTTATTAATTAATTGATATTTTAGTTATCATTAAATTATTAAATCATTATCGTTATTATTAAACTAATTATATTTTAGTTATATTCAATATAATAACAATTTTGTTAAAATAATTTTATTTTTGTAAATTTAAAATATATATACGTTAATTTAATAATATATTTGATAAAATTAACAAAGTTCTAAGTTATTTTAATAAAATTTCGATAAAATATATTAGTTGAACTAAATAAAAAAATTATTAAACCAAATAATTTTTAATTTTTATTTTAACAAATATCTCATCTTAATATCAATAAGCATTTTATTGACTTAATATTAACAATGATATTATTATTAATTAGATAAAACTACCTCCACGTGGTGTCCTCTGGGTTACGCTAAATGGTTCTAATTTTTTTTAGGGGAATTTATGTAAGTGTAATACAGTAACAAAATGTTTTTAGAGGAGTTTACATTTGCCAGTTCAGATATTCACCGGTAAAATAATTATTTCTCTTCAAACAATTTTTAATATTTTGTTATATTTCTAAAAATAATAAGATAAGTATGTACTTAAAATTTCCAAATTATTATTTTCAGTACCTATATTATGATGAAATTCTCAATAAATTTTAACTCTTTTTGAAATATTTATAGGTATGACAGATTTTCAATTTTTTTAGTATTTTTCAATAATTATCGATAAAAATTATTATCTAAGAAAAAATAGGCACCTTTATTTATTACTATTTTTAATATTTTTTAATTAATTGACTCTTTATACTTATTATTACAATTAAAGAAGGACTCAACTCAAATAACCTAACAATATTGATTGGACTCAACTCTCAACTCCGATAACCCAAAAGTATTTGAGGAACTCAACTCAATATTTGGGACTTAATTCAATGTTATCTGCCCTATTGCGGTCCAATTAAAAATATGCCTATTGCGTCCTAATAAATAATGATTCACAAAATAACGTTTATAATCGTTAATTTTTTTTTATACTTAATTACACAAAAAATTAACTTTTAAATATTAAAAGTCCTGTAAAATTACAAACAAATCTAATAACAAATAATATTAAAACAGTTAACTCTAAATTCATAATAGTGTAATAATAATATATTGATCGATAATTTTTGAAAGCTTAAAAATGCATTTTATATGAAACAAAATAATAATATAATTTATATATTATTATTATTAGTTTATATAAATTATTTTATATTAAATATATATATAAAGGTACCTATTAAATAAGTAAAAATCGCGAATTGTACAACTGTACAAGAATATAATAAAAAAAATTAATGTATATTTTATCAAAAGACTGATTTATGTGACTATTTTTTTTATATATACCTATCTACAATACACCTGTGCCCCACTAACTTTGTTATCTAGAAGTTCATCTGCTTTCTTATCTTTTTTGGAATGGAAAGCTTCATTTGCGCTGAATACTGTCTTCTCTTCTAAATTCCATGTAGTAAATGTATGTAAAAATACGAGAAACAAAATAATTGAGATATTTATATAGTGTTGCGATAACTGCTAAAAATCAGTATTTTTTACTTAATTTGTACGGGCTATAATTGGAAAAAG